GGGGGGGGCGGGCAGAGCCAGTCCGATTGTGACTTCAGCATGGCGGAACAACTTCATCTCCAGCAGTTAAGCAGCGTGGGAGCGCCTGCCCAGTGCTGCATCTCTGGCTCTCCAGTCCGCCCATGTGGGTTTTCCTTTGCATCCCCCTCCCACCCCATGGGGCCTTGCAGTGAGGATACACCAACTCGGAGCTTACCAGCTGCTGTCCTTTATACAGTTTATATCCCCGGTACCTGGCATTACTTTTTATGGTGCACATGGCCCGGCCCGGCCCGGCCCAGCCCGACAAAGTGATATTTATGTCAGATTCAGCCCTTGTAACAAATGAGTTCAACACCACAGGGCTGTTGTGAGGATAAAATGGAGGAGAACCATAAAAATGGCTTTGGGTCCCCCCTGGAGAGAAAAGTGGGGTATAACTGGAATAAATAATATGTAAAACTGGTAGATGTCATGGCAGTGTTTTTTCTCCGTAGCACCTCTGTTGTGGGGGTATCCAATTTTCCTAGCAATGCAGTCGCTCAGCATTTAAAGAACTATGCAGCTGAAAGATGAAATAAAACTGTCTAAAGCCAGATATTAGAATTAGTGGAAAAGCGATATTGCTTGACACTCAAAATGGAACGAGTACACTACAACTGCATCCCACATAGTGCTCATAATCATAATAAATGTTCTAAAGAGGGAGAGCAGGAGGGGAGAAATCACATTTTTCCAGAGACAAAATACTGCATACAGTTGGAGTACTGGGAAAATGGGATACACACACACACACACCTGAAAAGATAATCCTGAGAACTGGGAGAATCTCTGGAGTGGTATGCAAGGAACGCTGGTGGGGTGGGTTGCAGTTTGGTGGAAAATCCACAGGAATTAGACCTGCTTCTCCTTTGTGTGCATGAAAGTACTTTTTGGATCCAAGCCATCGAAAGAAAATGTGCTCCTGCTTCTGACAGGAACAAGGGGGGGGGGGGGTTGCGTGAGACACTGGCATCACTGCTTTTGCTGCATCGCTTCCAGGTAAAGCCCAGAAATTACAATGGGTGACTCTAGGAATCACCATAAACTCTATGATAAGAGTTTCTGGTGATTCCTAGGGCTACTCTACATTACTTTCTGGTAAAATCAGTGAAGTAGCTTTTTTAAAAAAATGAGTGATGGCAGGCAATGAAGCTTGTCACAGCAGGAGACCTGGGAAGCTTAGTTATTGTGCACACATATCTGACAGATTAGGCTCCAATCCACAAAGTTCATGCAAAAATGAATGTATTTATGTACCGCATTTATACTAAAGGTATAAATACCAGTGGCACTGGTATTTCTGGCCACTGTGTGACACAGAGTGTTGGACTGGATGGGCCTTTGGCCTGATCCAACATTGGCGTCTCTTATGTTCTTATGTTCTTATTAGTTAGACTCCTGTTTATTCTGACTGCATCAAACTAACAAGGCTACCCATCTGCCACAGTTACCATGCATTAGGCCAATGTTTCCCACAGCAAACATAAAGTGTGGATTACATACATTATCTTTAAAGTCCTGGTATACATACTGGGCCGCTCTGGCCAACCGGGATTCCCAAATGCAGGGGTTTAAAGATGTAAAAGTGTAGATGATGATCGCCTGTATTTGCTGCAGGAAACTGCAGTGCCGATGTTCAGAGGGGCCTACAAAAGAATTAAGCACAAGCCATTCCCAGTCCTTATCTAATCGCTCATAGCAGGCCCGGATCCCTGCCTTACACAGCCCTGTGTGATTTCTCCATCTTATCTGATGGGATTACAGGTTTCTGCAAGGGGCCGCCAGAAACAAAGCCCTGATAGACACAGTAATGACAAGGCCAGGCTTCAACCATTATACCTCAGAACCATACCATTCCACTTCTACACACGTAACCTTCAAGCACAGAGGCAGCAAATTCTGAATACCAGTGACAGGAGGCAACACCAGAGGAAAGTAGGGTTGCCAATCGCCAGGTTGTAGCTGGAATTCTCCTGCTATTACAACTGACCTCCAGGTGACACAGATCAGTTCCCCTGGAGAAAATGGCCACTTTGGAATGGGGACTCTGTAGCATTATAACCCCATTGAAGTCCCTCCCTAAGCCCCACCCTCCTCAGGCTCCACCCACAAAATCTCCAAATATTTCTCAACCCGGGCTGCGGTCACATGGAGCATTAGCCACGCTACTGAGACGGATGATAGGTGGATTTTCCGGGCACGATCACACCGCAACATCTGGGAAGCGTAGAGCTCCCATGGCGAACCCGAGGCTTCCCACCGAAGATGCAGAGTTAAAAACTAGTACCTCCGAGGTACTAGTTTTCGGAAACCGCAAGGCAAGGGCTGGCATCTGATCGCGTTTCCGGTGGTAGTCCGTGGCATCCGGCGCCTGCCCATGTCCTGTCGCAAACAGGTTTTTTCCCCCCAAGTCTCCACAGGATGCGCACAAGCACCCAACGGCGCATGTGCACGAAGAGGACAGCGAACGTTCCGTTGCTCCACAGAATCGCGCATGCCGTTGGTGAGATCACGCTGCGCCGCTTCTTTGCTGTGCTGCAGGATCGTCGTGTGATCGCCACCTCACCCCTACCCACGGGACCTCGATGGGACGTGTGATCGGGCGGCCGCGCGTTATTTTGATCCGGGCCAAACTGCCACGCTCCCCCCCCCCGCATTTTACGGCCCGTGTGACCGGGACCCCAGAACTAGCAATTCTAGGGGAAGGCCTCTATGCCTTGTTGTTGGCCCTCCAAGGCAACTGGTTGGCCACTGTGTGAAACGGGATGCTGGACTAGACAGACCACCGGCCTGACACAGCAGGCTCTACTTACATTCTTATTCTTTTTACTGACTGTCACACCAGGCCTGAGTTTGCCCATGGCAGCAACTGGATTTTCATGTATTTTGGTTAGCTGCCTGACACAACTCACATGTCAGAACCATTCAGAATTTCTCACTTAAATTCCTTGTAGATCTGCTGGCCCACAACATAATCACAACCCTCTCAAGATATCTTATAACAGCCCTGACATGGATAGCCCAGGCAAGCCTGAGCTCATCAGAAGCTAAGCAGGGTCAACTCTGGCAAGTACTTGGGTGGGAGACCTCCTTGGAATACCAGAGGCAGGAGGATGGGGGCAGGCTTTATTCAGCCACCTCTCTGAACATCCTCCAGGCCCCCAGTAGGGATCAGTCACCAGAGGTCGCCATGACTTCCAGGTACACACACACACACACACACCAGTGTTCCCTCTAATCTGAGTTAGTGTGAGCTAGCTCACAGTTTTTTAGCCTCCGGCTCACACCTTTTTGTCTTACCTCAGGAAGGATGGCTCCAGAGCAAGCTAATTTATGCAGTAGCCAAACTGCTCACTCACCGCTTTAATGCCAGTAGCTCACAAAGTAGAATTTTTGCTCACAAGATTCCACAGCTTAGAGGGAGCACACACACTTTAAAAAAAACTTATAATACAGGGTCAACAGGTCTTTGGCTATCATGAATATGTATGACAACACAATCCACTTTCGTTGTTATGGCCCTCTGTCTAAAACCTTTCACAGGTATTGGCTTGTTCTCACTTCTACAGTTGCAGTGCCATGGGAAAGCAAATGCTGCTACGGTATCGGCCATTACCTGTAGAATCAAATATGATAGGAAGGCAGTTTCTGTTGGAATTCCAACTGCACTTGAGAACTTGACCTCCTTGTACAATTCCAGGCTGACTTGTATTTGCCTTTGGCGCTCCCACTAGAAGGAATGTCCTGCAAGAAAAGACAAACAAAAAAGATACTTCAAGACTGCTCACTGTTTCACAGAAGGCAATTAATTAAGCACCCAAATTATAAAACGGAGTATGTCAATACAGTGCACAGGAGAACTGAGCCGCAGAAAGAGCACTAGCAGGCCAGTAGCTACGGTGGGGCATTTTGGGGCTCTGCTCCCTCAAATGTGAGGCACGCCCCACAGCAGCCGATGGCTCTCTCCCCTCCTCCTCCTGTGACATTAAAAGGGCCCTCCAGCTGATCGACGGGAGCATGTGGCCCGCCAATCAGCTGTAGGGCCCTTTAAATTGTGCAGGAAGAGAGGGGGTGGGGAAACCGCACACCTTCCCTGAATCCCAAGTGGGGATTTCGCCACTTAGAGTTCAGGCCCGGGCAGCCCCCACTTGAAAAACACCACTTAAAGGGAACCCTTCAAATATTTTTTCACAAGTGGGGACTGCCTGCGTCTGAACTCCAAGTGGCAAAATCATCGCTTGAAGTTTAGGGAAGGCATGCAGCCGCCCCTCCCCCTCCCCCGTTGCCCCACAACCCGTTGCCCCACAACATTTCCCCATGCCCCCCAACCCAAAATTTTCAGCTACGGGGCCGACTGCCCTAGTATAACGTAATGGCTAAGAAAATGAGACTTGGTTCCAGGAGGTGGGATTCTCGAAGGAGCTATCTTCCCTGCAGTTAAGACTTGCTCCTCCAGGCCTGCACAACGAGTGACCCCCCCCCCCAAATCCACCCAAAAACGTACAAAAGTGCCACCAAGCTGCGACTGACTTATGCCTTCCCCAGTAAGGGGCTTGCAAGGCAAGTGAGAAGCAGACGTGGTTTGCCACTGTCTTCCTCTGCAGACACTTTCTCGGAGGTCTCCCACCGCAGCACCAACCCTGCCTAGCTTCTGAGATCTGACAAGATTGGGCTGCACCCAATGCTCCCTCTAAGCTGTGGAGTTTTGTGAGCAAAAAATCTACTTGATGAGCTACTGGCATTAAAGTTGTGAGCGAGCGATTTGGCTGCTGCGTGAATTAGTCTGCTCTGGAGCCATCCTTCCTGAGCTAATGTGTGAGCTGGAGACTAAAGAACTGTGAGCTAGCTCACACTAACTCAGCTTAGAGGGAACACTGGCTGCACCTTTCCTCCCAATCCACCAGACGCCCCTGGTTCTGATGCTCACTGGGCACTGTGAAAGTGGACGGGAGGGGTATTAAGTTCCTGCTTGGCCAAATACGTGGCTACACTGGCACAATCCTGTTGCTTGGTCCTTTCTAGTCTCCTAAGGGCGAAAGAAGCCAATGTATCCCTCCAGCTGCCCAGCAAGCACAGCAGAATTGGCTCTGGATTACTGAGGTTTGGCTGTATTTTGTGACTCTTCCCAACCCGTTTCTTTCACTTGCCAAGCCTAGAATCTAATTCAGCTGGAATGGCAAAACCCACTGCACACACACACACACACCCTTCCAGCTATGAGAAGGCTACAGAGCCAGGCTGAAAACCAAAAGAGAGAGAGAGAGAGAGGAGACAGAAAGACGAACTCTGATAGCTGTGTCTTCTGGAAACTCAGATGTTTCCATCAACTGGGATTGAGTAACCAACGGAATGTTCAGTGTTCAAATTAAAACAACAGCAACACGTGAGTGTTAGTAATTCCCCAACCTTGCAGTCAATTATTCTTCAGATTCCATTTCATACAACATGCTATAAACCGATTACAACCTTCAGTGCCTCATCTCACAAATACATGGTGGGGGGGGGGGAACAAACCAATATACTTCAAAAATAAAACAAATAGTGTCTGGCAATCCTTTCCCAGATGAACTCAACACTATACACAGTTCCCCTCATTCACATCATAACTCTATAGAACTGACACTCCATATTGCTGGCCCCACTCCGATGGTTTTGATTTGAGATCTATATGAAGAAAGGTTAAAGAGATTAGGGCTCTTTAGTTTAGAGAAACGATTGAGGGGTGACATGATAGAGGTTTATAAGATTATGCATGGGATAGAGAAGGAACAGAAAGAAGTCCTTTTCTCCCTTTCTCACAATACAAGAACTCGTGGGCACTCAATGGAATTAACGAGCAGTAGGCTTAGAACAGATTAGAGAGGAAGTACTTCTTCACCCAATGAGTAATTAACACGTGGAATTCAGTGCCGCTGGAAGTGGTGGCAGCTACAAGCATAGACAGTTTCAAGAGGGGACTGGATAAACACATGGAGCAGAAGTCCATCAGTGGCTATTAGCCACAAGGTATAGATGGAGCACTCTGTCTGGGATAGTGATGCTCTAGGTTCTTCCGGGAGGGGGGACAGTGGGAGGGTTTCTGGAGTTCTGACCCTGCTGGTGGACTGGTGGCACCTGAGTTTTGGCCACTGTACAACACGGACTAGAAGGGCCACTGGCCTGATCCAACATGGCTGCTCTTATGTTATGACATTCCTGGTTCTGGTAGTGGAAAGTGTTGTCGAGTTGCAGCCAACTTAGAGCAAGAGATGAACAGAGGTGGTTTGCTGTTAAGTCCGGCGCTTAACAAATAGTCGGAGAGTGATTTCAGCAAAAACTCAGGTTTATTCACGATCACGAACACTTCTCCAACACGGTACAACATCTGATAGCCCGAACAGCTTGTCCATTCTAGCTGCTCGGTATTTAAACATTTCCCGGCTAATGTAGCCACGCCTCTATACAGATAACAACCAATGCGGTTGAGCGGATAAGGTCCAATCAATGTCGTTCCCGCTTAAAGACATTCAAACGTGATTGGACGCATTAGTCTTGGACTACAATCCCTGTCCAAGACAAAGCTTAACATTGCTTCCTTATGAGATGGTTTCCATACATCTTAATGCATTCAGTACATCATCAGAATACATTACATTTGCCATGGCCTGCCTCTGCGTGGCAACCCTGGACTTCCTTGGTAGTCTCCCATCCTGGTGCCAACCAGGGCCGACCCTGCTTAGCTTCCAAGATCTGATGAGATCAGGCCAGCCAGGGCCATCCCAGCCAAGGCTAGCCTGGAAACCACAGGATTTAAATGAAAGTTTTAATAGCAAGGAACAGAAACAGTCGACGTATTGCTGCAGCGATATCTTCATTCTACCTTCTAAGCCAGCAACTAAATGCAAAACATATGGCCCATCAGCCACTATACCAACCTGGTGTCTCACACCCTAACTGTTCGCCAAGGACGTGGATGCTGGCCAGTACAAATGTTTAGGCCCGGAGTGTTACACACTGATCTTACAGATACGCTGCACTGGCAAGCCACAGAATAGGATGGGTGCCAACAGATTCCAAAAGGAATAGGGCCTTTTGTCTCTCCCAGAGGGCTGCTGAAGTTCCATAAGCGCAACTTAACACACACACACACACACACACTATGGATGGCAAAAAAAGAAACCTGGGAACCAGCATCTGCATGAATGGTTCTGCCACATTTCCTTTTTGTTTTTCACAGCACAATCCTGAACACAGTTACACTCTTCGAAGCCCATCGTCCTTATAGACCTAGAAAGGTGTATCTTAGGACGGCGCACATGGTCATTGTCCCAGAACTAATCTTTGCACACTTCCAAGGTAGATACAGTTACTCCCTCCATATTCACAGAATGAAACCCACTTGTCTGTTTAGCAGCTGAAAATTCTGCAGCCCCCTCCCCCCTCGATCCAACAGAGTTTCAGCTATAAGCACGCTCACTCCTTTGACTGGCATTCGTAGGATTGCTGGCCAGTCAGGAGGAGGAAAATGTCCGGTCCCTTTAATAGAGGCTTTGCATGCGGAAAAGGGCCCCTGAAGCTTTTCATCGCACAGAGGTAAATAACATCACCTGGTAAATAACCTCCTATTAAGCCGCTGTTAAAGGGACAGGATGCTTTTTGGGAACCATAGCTGGCAGCCTATCTTATCCTTACTAATTTCTCTAGGCTTTTCTGTTCCTAGGCTGCAGACGCTTGCTGATTCAAAACTGGGAGATGATCGATGAAGATAAAACAGATTATTCTTGTCTCAGTTGAACAGAGCTATACACAAGTGTAGCATAGTAGCTAAGAGAACAATCTGTGATCCACAGGGTGCCATTCACATCTCCCCTGTTGGATTGGATTTCATTTGCAAGTTGATGACACACACATCTGGAAATACTTGAAAATCAGTGGTTGAATTAAGTGCGAGTACAGTTACCACGTGAAAGGATCCATGGTCTGCTTTATGAGCTAACATCCAACCACACCATATATGAGGTCACATCACCTGGTCAGGATTGATTTATTTTGGCCCTGGTCACACGGAGCATTAGGCACACTAGAGAGACGGAAGATAGGCGGATTTTCCAGGCGCGATCTCACCACCACATCTGGGAAGCGTAGAGCTCCCGTGGCGCACCCAAGGCTTCCCGCTGGCGCGATCTCACCACCACATCTGGGAAGCGTAGAGCTCCCGTGGCGCACCCGAGGCTTCCCACCGAAGATGCGGGGTAAAAAACTAGTACCGAAGATGCGGGGTAAAAAACTAGTACCTCGGAGGTACTAGTTTCCGGAAACCACGGGGCAAGGGCAGGCATCTGATCGCATTTCCGGTGGTAGTTCCGGCGCCCACCCATGTCCCCTCGCAAAAAGGGTTTTTTTTCCCCCAAGTCTCCACGGATGCGCACAAGCACCCAACGGAGCATGCGCACATTTAAGTTTTAAAAACAAAACACAACCCCGTTTGCTGCGCCGCTCCGCTTCTTTGCCCCATGTGTGATCGGCACCTCCCCCCCAACCATGGGAGCTCCACGGGACCTCAGCCCAAAGCCTGATCACGCAGTCATGCGTTAGTTTGCTCCGGGGCAAACAGCCACGCCTCCCCCCCGCATTTTCCTGCCCATGTGGCCGAGGCCATCGTTTATTTTCCAGATGTGTTTCTAAAAACTGTTATATGCTATTGACCACTGAGGAAGGCCTTTGAAGCTGAAGCGCGTATGGCAGGGGTGTCAAACATATGGCCCATGAGCCGCAACCGGCCCGTCCAGGACTCTTATCCACCCTGCAAGCAACCGTTTACCTTTATTTATTTATTTATTTATTTGTTTTAATATGTTTATTCTGCCCTCCCCAAGTGGGCTCAGGGTGGATCACAAAAAAACCAAGTTCAAGACTCGTTACAATAAAATCACATTAAAATCATTAAAACAATAGACAATAAAACTGCACAGACTTCATATAAATCTGTTGGGGGCTACAAGATGGAATCAATGGGCCCTTTCGAGGGTTGGGAACTAGAGCAGGGAGGCCAACTGAGGTGATTGCCTGCCGCCTAACCTGAAGGCCTGGCGGAAAAGCTCCATTTTGCAGGCCCTGCAGAACGGTAGAAGGTCCCTCAGGGCCCTGATCTCCAGTGGGAGCTGATTCCACCAGGCTGAAGGCAGGGCAGAAAACACTGCCACACATACAGGCCACAGGCCCTTCCAGGGCTCTTATCCGGCCCATAAGCAACTGATTACCTTTACTGCCAGATGTACACCATATAATAAGTATATTTCTTTTAATACAAATTTTATTTGCTATAGCTTGACCCTTGAAGAATTCCCAGTATGTTTTGGGGTGAGGTTGTTTCCCCCTTCTCCTTTGTTTGTCCCCCCGTCCCCACCCATATCTCCACTGTGCCACAGACTCACTAAGTGGCCTTCGGCAAGTCACTGCCTCACATCCCCACCAGTGTTCCCTATAAACTGAGTTAGTGTGAGCTAGCTCACAGTTTTTTAGCCTCCAGCTCACACATTTTTGCCTTAGCTCAGGAAGGAGGGCTCCAGAGCAAACTAATTTATACAGCAGCCAAATGGCTCGCTCACAACTTTAATGCCAGTAGCTCACAAAGTAGAATTTATGCTCACAAGACTCCACAGCTTAGAGGGAACATTCCCCACCAACAGGCCATATGAGGGAAATAATTCTGGTCTACCTGACAGAGCTGTTGTCAGGAGTACAAAATGATACCTGCAATCCTAAAAATACTTTTCCTGGGAGTGAGTCCGACTGAATTAAATGGCACTTACTTCTCAGTAGACCATCTTAGGCCTGCTGTCCGTACGTACAAGGCATTTTCAACACCAAAAAGAGCTACACAAATGCTAAGAATTATTATGGTCTGATAGACACTGTATTCTTAATGATTCCATTATGTACACCATATAATAAGTATATTTCTTTTAATACAAATTTTATTTGCTATAGCTTGACCCTTGAAGAATTCCCAGTATGTTTTGGGGTGAGGTTGTTTCCCCCTTCTCCTTTGTTTGTCCCCCCGTCCCCACCCATATCTCCACTGTGCCACAGACTCACTAAGTGGCCTTCGGCAAGTCACTGCCTCACATCCCCACCAGTGTTCCCTATAAACTGAGTTAGTGTGAGCTAGCTCACAGTTTTTTAGCCTCCAGCTCACACATTTTTGCCTTAGCTCAGGAAGGAGGGCTCCAGAGCAAACTAATTTATACAGCAGCCAAATGGCTCGCTCACAACTTTAATGCCAGTAGCTCACAAAGTAGAATTTATGCTCACAAGACTCCACAGCTTAGAGGGAACATTCCCCACCAACAGGCCATATGAGGGAAATAATTCTGGTCTACCTGACAGAGCTGTTGTCAGGAGTACAAAATGATACCTGCAATCCTAAAAATACTTTTCCTGGGAGTGAGTCCGACTGAATTAAATGGCACTTACTTCTCAGTAGACCATCTTAGGCCTGCTGTCCGTACGTACAAGGCATTTTCAACACCGAAAAGAGCTACACAAATGCTAAGAATTATTATGCTTTTATTGCCATTGTTTTTAGTATTAACTTGAAGTTAGAATGTCAGAAACTTCACCAGGTTATTAATAATGGAACCAAGCATTTCATAAAGAGAAGACTTGTCACAAGAAAAATAACAATAACAAAATAAAAAGAGAAATAAGTTCACTTTTGGGATGCTAGCGTTGTACACAGAGTTACCAGCTTGCCAGTTTGGTGTAGTGGTTAAGTGCGTGGACTCTAATCTGGGAGAACCAGGTTTGATTCCCCACTCTTCCACCTGCATCTGCTGAATGACCCTGGGCAAGCCATAGTTCTTTCAGAGCTGTTCTCTCAAGGACAGTTCTGGAAAGAGCTCTCTCAGCCTCACCTACGTCACAGGGTGTCTGTTGTGGGGAGGGGAAGGGAAAGGAGTTTGTAAGCTGCTCTGAGACTCCGAGTGAAGGGCAGGGTATAAATCCAATCTCTTCTTCTTCTTCAGCTGGCCTGGAGAAAAAAATGCCCTGCCCCTTTAACAGAGGCTTATTGGGTTTCCATTTTTACCAGGTGGTGCTATTTACCTCCCTACCTTGAAAAACTTCAACTGCCCATTTCCACAAATGAAGGGGACAGGCCATTTTTCTTCAGGTCTCTTGGTAACTCTGTGTCAGAGGGTCTCACCTGCCAACGCCTTTCCTTGCACCCTCCAAGTGTTTTTAGAAAGTGGCAGGGGCCAGGTGGGTTTCAGACTGGCCACTGGAGATTAAATGGCATCCTGTTAGGGTTGCCATCCCCCTGGTCGGGGTGGGGTTTCCCCCGATTTTGGGGGCTCCAATCCACTACTGTCTAGCTGGCCAGCAGGGGAAGCCCCACCCCCAAACAGCCCCCTCCCACTTAGGTGTTGTGATGACATCACCCGGTAGTGATGTCATCATGTTGCCAACATCGGGATGTGATGCTCTAGTTTTTGGGCAAACTCTATGGTTTTGAGGGCAAAAGACCCATAGATTTTTGCCCAAAAAGTGTCCCCCCCCCCCCCAACGTCAGCAATGTGATGACATCACTTCCAGGTAATGTCATCAAGCTGTGCACACTTCGCACACGTAGCAGAAGATCCTGACGACCCGGGAGCCCCCTGCTGGATCGGAGGTAGGACCTGGCAACCCTATATCCTGTTAAAATTTCTGCCTAAAATCTTGGAAGAGTTACTATTACAGTTATGCAGGGGTCATTTCCTGCAGGAGCGCACAGGAGCAGAGCTCCGGCAGTAAAGAGCCCAGGGGCGCGGGCACATGCAACAAGCCCCACCCCCTGCTCCCACCAGCCCTCAGTCAGATCAAGAAGCAGCCAGGTAAGTTGCAGAGCTCCCCCCCGGCCCCCCGGCCCCCAACAGTCCAGATCTGTACTCCCCCCACCCAATAGCTAGCAATACAAAACAGTCCAGTCGAGCCTGAGCGGTGGGTGTTGCCTTCTGACACACTTCCGGTGATGTCAGGGGGTGTGGCATATGCAAATAAGTTATGCTACAAAATGACCCCTGCAGTTACGTATAGCCTCAGCTCCCTGCCATTATGTGGTTGGCTCCGTCTCTTGTATTTGTGAGCAGGCTCAAAAAGGTTGGGGACCCCTGCTTAATGTGTTGCTGTCACAGTCAGTCCAAATATGAGTCGAGAACCCTCTGGTTTGGGGTGCTATTATGGATTGTAGAATGGGAAAGAGAACTGACACCAGAAACATACTCTGTCAGGAACTTCAGTTACACAAGCACCACTAAAACAAACAGGAATTTCACAAGAAGATAACCGTGTTAATTAGTTTTCTTATTTTATACTTTTCAAAGATTGCACGATTGATCTGAAACCACCACCCCCAACCCTAGCAATTAATCCATTATTCATGTTATTTAGCATGTTTGGGGAGAGTGGTATTTGGGATTTCAACTTCAGACACCATAATGTCTTCCTCTACCTGTAGCTGCTAATGTAAATTCTAACCACAGGCACTGCCGTCCCAAATAAATTTCCTTCAAAATGGCTCCAGAAGACCCTGATGCTGGGAAAGATTGAAGGTCAAAGAAGACGGGGACGGCAAAGGATGAGATGGTTAGACAGTGTCATCGATGCAACGAACATGAAGTTGAGCCAACTTCAGAGGACGGCAGAAGACCGGAAGGCCTGGAGAGAGCTCGTCCATGGGGTCGCGAAGAGTCGGACTCGACTGTGCGACTGAACAACAACAACAACAAAGAGCCTGTCTATAAAGGCGAAATGGGCAACAGTGGAAAATGTGACAGGCAAGGCCAAAGGACTGGTGGCGGGAAACGGAAGCCAGGTCTCCAAAGCCCTAGTGGAATGGTCCATGAAATCTTATAAGACCCTGAAGATTATCTTTTTTTTTTACAGCAGGTCAGGACAGGCTACAATGTCTGGTAGATGGCAAAAAGGAAGTTGTGGGGATCACAGGTAAAGCAAGCCTGCACAATTTGTAACTCTTGTCAGCCATGCTTGGGGAGGGCTGTGGCTCAGTGGCAGAACCTCTGCTTGGCATGCAGAAAGTCCCAGGTTCAATCCCCAGCATCTCCAGTGGAAAGAATGAAGTAATAGGTGATGCAAAAGACCTCTATCCGAGACCCCGGAGAGGTGCTGCCAGTTTGAGCAGACAATACTGACCTTGATGGACCAAGGGTCTGATTCAGTATAAGGCAGCTTCATGTGTTCTGTGGAACCAGGGGTTGTTTCGTAGAAAAAGAGCTAGGGGAACTCATTAGCATAACTCATTAGCATATGCCACACCCCCTGACATTACCGGAAGTGTGTCATAAGGCCACACCCGCTGACATCACCGGAAGTGTGTCATAAGGCCACACACCCTGCCCCATGAGGGGCCTGGCGGTGGACCTGCAAGGCCAGCGGGAGTGCAAGGAAGCCCCGCCAAGGCCCTCCCTGGCCCCAGGCAGGCAGGGGTGGGGAGAGGCAGGGAGGAAGCAAGGGAGGTAC